GTGGAGGAACGAGGAGTGACGCCCACCGCCGAAGCCCCCTTTCTTCTGACCCTGTGGAAATCTTGCTCAGCGGCCCCTCCGGTTTCGAAGATACCGGCCAATCTTTGCCCGCTAACTTTAATGTCTCAGTTAGACTCCCTTCAAATTTGCAGCAAAGCTCCCTGAGAAGCAGGAAGCCAGCAGGGTTAACATTCCTATTGGATTTTTTTTTTTGATTTCAAAGTTATCAAAGGATAGCACTGCCTTTCTCTTTTGCTACAATATAAAAGGACTTGCCCATCAGCAAAGGTGTCTGGAGAGTCATTCTCTCACAGTAAAGAATGTTTTGCAGTTGCCCACTAGAGACCCCTGGCCATTAATTTTATTTAATTTCAGTGTTGGAAGGGACCACTGAGGTCATCTAGTCCAACCCTCTGCCAACACAGGAACTACAACTATAGCATCCATGACAAGTAGGTATCTAATTGATACTCAAAACCCTCCAATGATAGAGAATCTGCCACCTCACAAGGGAGACTATCCCAGTCTTGAACATACCTCATCGTCAGGATGTTCTTGCTCGAATTTAGAGGAAACCTCCCTTGATGTAGTTTATATCCATTAGTCTGAGTGCTGTCACCCAACACTGCTGAAAACATATCCACCCCATCCTCCACGTGACATCCCTTAAGACTGCGGCTTTTACAAGAGGGTGAAATGACACGTGACATTGGGAGAGGGATAATTAGGATTTCCTGCAAGACATCTTCAGAGAAATTGAGGCCATGGCACGGGAAAGACGGGCTTTTAAAAATTCTTTGTTATGTTGTTGTTTTTATTGATCTATCCTACCTGTTTGTTACATTCCCTACAGGGTGAAAATGCACCAATATGACAGCTGTATGTTTTTTTCATGTGGGACAAATAGCATGGGGGGGGGGAGGAGGAAGAGGAGATTGGATTTATACCTCCCGCCCTTCATTTGGAGTCTCAGAGCAGGTTACAATCTCCTTTCCCTCCCCCTTCCCACAACAAACACCCCATAAGGTAGGTGGGCCTGAGAGAGCTCTTTTGAGAACTGCTTTTAAGAGAACGGCTCTGAAAGAACTTGTGACTGACCCAAGGTCACACCAGCAGCTGCGTGTGAAGGAGTGGGGCATCAAACCCGGTTCTCCCAGATTAGAGTCCATCGCTCTTAACCACCTCAACCAACTGGCTCTCCAGGGCGAAGGAGGGAAAAGATGGCACACTTTAAAAGGGGAAAGCCAGAGCAGACTTTGAAAGCTTCGCAGTCAGGGTTGACAATTCTGGGTTAAGAAATTCCTGGAGATTTTTGGGGTGCAGTCTGGGGAGGGTGGGGTTTAGGGAGCAAAGTGACCTCAGCAGGATACAATGCCAGAGAGTCCACCTTCCAAAGCAGCCATTTGCGTCAGGAGAAATGATCTCTGTAGTCTGAAGACCTGTTCCAGCAGATCTCCGGGTCCCACCTGGAGGGCTGGCACCCTATCAGCCGCCTCTCTCTTTAACTCCCCACTAGATTCTGACCACTCCACACTAATTAACCCATGGAATTTACTGCCACAGGAAGTGGTGGCGGCTACAAGCATGGACGGCTTCAAAAGGGAATTAGATAAGCATATGGAGCAGAGGTCCATCAGTGGCTATTGGCCACAAGGTATAGATAGGGGCTCTGGGGCAAGGGATGCTCTGTCATCTTGGTGCTTGGGGGGGGGTTAAACGAGCGGGGGCCTCTTGTGGTCCTGGCCCCACTGGTGGACCTCCTGATGGCCCCTGGTATTTCACGCCACTGTGTGACACAGAGTGTTGGACTGGATGGGCCACTGGCCTGATCCAACATTGGTTTCTCTTGTGTTCTTATATGGAGCAGAGGTCCATCATTGGCTATTAGCCACAAGGTATAGATAGGGGCTCTGGGGCAAGTAATGCTCTGTCTTCTTCGTGCTGGGGAGGGCTTCTAATGCCCTGGCCCCACTGGTGGACCTCTAGTATTTTTGGCCACTGTGTGACACAGAGTGTTGGACTAGATGGGCCATTGGCCCAATCCAACATTGGCTTCTCTTATGTTCTTATTAGAGGGAATTGGATAAGCATATGGAACAGAGGTCCATCACTGGCTATTGGCCACTAGGTACAGACAGGAACTCTCGGTCTGGGGCAGGTGATGTTCTGTATTCTTGGTGCTTGGGGGGGGCAACAGTGGGAGGGCTTCTAGTGTCCTGGCCCCACTGCTGGACCTCCTGATGGCCCCCGGTGTTTTTGGCCACTGTGTGACACAGAGTGTTCGACTGGATGGGCCATTGGCCTGATCCAACATTGGCTTCTCTTATGTTCTTATATGGAGCAGAGGTCCATCAGTGGCTATTAGCCACAAGGTATAGATAGGAACTCTCAATCTGGGGTGAGTGATGCTGTGTATTCTTGGTGCTTAGGGGGGCAACAGTGGGAGGGCTTCTAGTGTCCTGGCCCCACTGCTGGACCGCCTGATGGCACCTGGTATTTTTGTTGGACTGGATGGGCCTTTGGCCTGATCCAACATTGGCGTCTCTTATGTTCTTATGTAATTAAAAAAATGTAGCAGGCCGGATTCTGCACTGAAACCCCCTGAAATATAGTTCCAGTATTCCCTCTAGGCTGAGTTAGTGTGAGCTAGCTCACAATTTTCTAGCCACCAGCTCACACATTTCTGTCTTTGCTCAGGAAGGAGGGCTCCAGAGCAAACTAATTTATGCAGTAGCCAAATCGCTCGGTCACAACTTTAATGCCAGGAGCTCACAAAGTAGAATTTTTGCTCACAGGACTTTACAGCTTAGAGGGAACATTGGTTTATACCCACTTGACTTTTCTCTCGTTTTGCATGATTTATTCTGATCTTGCTATTCCAAGGGTTAGAGCAAAGGCACCGACACGCAATCCCCCCACAACCACAAAATCTGACCCACCCACCCCTCTGCCTTCTCACTCACAACGGTCACTGCTCCGACATGTTCGAGCCGATCACGGGGTGGAGAGAGTCGACAGAGAGAGATTATTCTCTCTCTCCCAAAATTCTAGGACACAAGGGCATCCAACGAAGCTGATGGGTAGTAGGTTCAGGGCGGACCAAAGGAAGTATTACTTTACACAGGGAGTGATTCAAATGTGGGATTTGCTGCCAGAGGATGTTGTGGCGGCCACAGGAATAAACAGCTTTAATGGGGGATTAGATAGATTCATAGAGGACAAACCTATCAGTGGCCTCACAAAGTAGAATTTTTGCTCACAGGACTTTACAGCTTAGAGGGAACATTGGTTTATACCCACTTGACTTTTCTCTCGTTTTGCATGATTTATTCTGATCTTGCTATTCCAAGGGAGAGAGAAAGGGACCGACACGCAATCCCCCCACAACCGCAAAATCTGATCCACCCCCACCAACCCCCGCCTTCTCACTCACAACAGGCACTGCTCTGACATGTTCGAGCCGATCACGGGGTGGAGAGAGTTGACAGAGAGATATTTTTCTCTTTCCCCCAAAATTCTAGGACCTGAGGGCATCCAACGAAGAAGGCCTCAGCCTCCATGCTCTGTTGCTGGCCATCCAGAGTAACTTGGTTGGCCGCTGTGTGAGACAGGAGTCTGGATAAGATGGAGCACTGGTCTGAATCCAGCAGGGCTCTTCTGAGGTTCTTATGAAGGCCTCGACCTCTGTGCCATGTTGTTGGTCCTCCAGAGGAACTGGTTGGCCGCTGTGTGAGACACGATGCTGGACCAGATGGACCACTGGTCCGAACCAGTAGGGCTCTTAGGTTCTTATGAAGGCCTCAGCCTCTCTGCCATGTTGTTGGCCCTCCAGAGGAACTGGTCAGCCACTGTGTGAGACAGGATGCTAGACTAGATGGACCACTGGTCTGATCCAGCAGGGCTCTTCTGATGTTCTTATGAAGGCCTCGGCCTCTATGCCCTGTTGTTGGCCCTCCAGAGGAATTGGTCGGCCACTATGTGAGACAGGATGCTGGACTAGATGGACCACTGGCCTGATCCAGCAGGGCTCTTCTGATGTTCTTATGAAGGCCTTGGCCTCTATGCCCTGTTGTTGGCCCTCCAGGGGAACTGGTTGGCCACAGTGTGAGACAGGATGCTGGACTAGAGGGACCCTCACTGGTCTGATCCAACGGGGCTCTTATTTTGTTCTTATGCTTTCTTTCAGCAAACTGGATATAGACTTCCTGTATATGGCCTATGCGGACATCATGGCAAAGGTACATGAGGGATTGACTGCACCCTGTCCCAATTCCTCTATGCGCTGTTGTTGGCCCTCCAGGGGAACTTGTTGTCCACTATGTGAGACAGGATGCTGGACTAGATAGACTAATGGTCTGATCTAGCAGGGCTCTTCTGAGGTTCTTCTATTCTTATCTTTCCCACCCATAAGGGCTAGAAACTTAATCATTTTGTTTTAAAAGGAGGCACAGTCAGGTTCCCAGAAGGCTGCATTCGGCTCCCAGTTTCATAATTGTGTCTCTGCCGCAGCAGCGATACACCATATCCTGGTTCTTCCAGGCAGTGGGAATAAAACCTGGTAGAATACCAACCTTGTAACATAGTTGATGAGTTTGGTCTGGAGGAGAAGTTCCCTCCCGGGGAGCAGGTTTTCGGTGATGAGGTTTTGGTTGGAGCGGACAGCCACGCCGTTGCAGACGCACAAAGAGCAGAGGACGTCTAGGACCTGTGGAGGCAAGGAGGAAAGGGATGCTACGATTTAAGACCAAAAGTGGCACATTTAAAGTGGAGGACAGAGAAAGGAGGAGAAAGGTGCCAATCAGAGGAACTTTGAGCTAGCGGACGGCAACGCTCCCTCTAAGTTGTACAAACTTGTGAGCAAAAATTCTACTTTGTGAGCTCCTGGCATCAAAGTTGTGAGCGAGCGATTTGGCTGCTGCATAAATTAGTTTGCTCTGGGGCCATCCTTCCTGAGCGAAGACAAACGTGTGAGCCGGAGGCTTAAAAGCTGTGAGCCGGCTCACACTGACTCAGCTTAGAGGGAACACTAGCTGATGCGTCCCCAACTCCCCCCCCCCATATATGCATATGTGTGTGTGTGTGTGTGTGTGTGCACCTGGAAGTCATGGCGACCTCTGATGACTGACCCCCTACTGGGGGCCTGGAGGATATTCAGAGAGGTGGCTGAATTAAAGCCTGCCCCCGCCTCCCGACTGCTGGTATTCCTTGGAGGTGGATCAAAAACTGGCTAATAGGAAACAGAGAGTGAGTATAAATGGGCAATTTTCTCAGTGGAGGGTGGTAAGCAGTGGGGTGCCACAGGGATCAGTACTCGGTCCGATGCCTTTCAACTTGTTTATTAATGATTTGGAGTTGGGAGTAAGCAGTGAAGTAGCTAAATTTGCAGATGACACAAAGTTATTCAGGGTGGTGAGAACCAGGGAGGATTGTGAGGCACTCCAAAGGGATCTGTCGAGGATGGGCGAGTGGGCGTCAACGTGGCAAATGGGGTTCAATGTGGCCAAGTGCAAAGTGATGCACATTGGAGCTAAAATCCTAAATATAAATACACATTGATGGGGTCTGAACCAGCAGAGACTGACCAAGAGAGAGATCTTGGAGTCGTAGTAGATAACTCAATGAAAATGTCGAGACAGTGTGCAACTGCAATTAAAAAAGCCAACACTATGCTGGGGATTATTAGGAAGGGAATTGAAAACAAATCAGCCAGTATCATAGAAACGACGGCTGAGGGGTGACATGATCGAGGTTTATAAGATTATGCATGGGACGGAGCAGGTTGAGAAAGAAGTCCTTTTCTCCCTTTCTCACCATATAAGAACTCGTGGGCAATCAATGAAATTGCTGAGCTGTCAGGTTAGAGCAGATACAAGGAAGTACTTCTTCACCCAAAAAGTGATTAAACTTGGAATTCACTGCCAGAGGAGGTGGTGGCGGCTACAAGCATGGACAGCTTCAAGAGGGGATTAGATAAGCATATGGAGCAGAGGTCCATCAGTGGCTAATAGCCACAAGGTATAGATAGGGAATCTGGGGCAAGTGATGCTCTGCATTCTTGGTGCTTGGGGGGGGGAGGCAACACTGGGAGGGTTTCTGGAGTTCTGGCCCCACTGCTGGACCTCCTGATGGCACCTGGTATTTTTGGCCACTGTGTGACAGAGTGTTGGACTGGATGGGCCATCGGCCTGATCCAGCATTGGCTTCTCTTATGTTCTTATATAGAGCAGAATTCCATCAGTGGCCATTAGTCACAAGGTATAGATAGGAACTCTCAGCCTGGGGAAAGTGATGCTCTGTATTCTTGGTGCTTGGGGGGGGGGGCAACAGTGGGAGGGCTTCTAGTGTCCTGGCCCCACTGCTGGACCTCCTGATGGCCCCTGGTATTTTTGACCACTGCGTGCCAGAGAGTGTTGGACTAGATGGGCCATTGGCCTGATCCAGCATTGGCTTCTCTTATGTTCTTGTTTAAAATGTTGGCCTTTTGAATTGCTCTTTCACATTGTTATCAATCTCTGTTCCTGAATTACTTTGCATTTGTTATTATGGTTCTGTACTGGTTTCTACGTCCCCTCTATGGCTTTACTGGTTAGTTTGCGAGCTGTTTGTTGGAAAATTTGGAAATAAAAAATATTTTTTTTAAAAAAAAAAATTCTAAACCCCTTTGGATGTTTTGGACCCTGGAAGGAGACTGCCTGGTGCAAATGCGCAGAAGTGCGTTTTTTCCACATGATGTATCGCATGACGATTCGTATCCTGGATCGTAGTACGCGCAATCCCAACCGCCCTCCGAAAGACGCCACTTCAGAGGAGTTCTCTGTGCCTCTCCCGTCCGTCGCAGTGCCTCGTAGGAAGCATGTCCCTCACGGGACAAGGTGTCTCTGTTAGAAAAAAGTGTTGGGAGGGCCAGTGGCATACGCGCGGCTCACCGTACCTTGTGGTTGCGCCCGTGCTTGTCCAACAGCGAGATGATGGACTTGATGTGGTTCTCCTGGATAATGTTCAGCACTTCGGGGCTTTCGATGAGGACGCAGTATAAGACTTCTAGGATGCCTGGAGAAGAAGAGCAAGTTTAGAGACACAGTATTCATCTCCTGCGGTGGCTCAAGTGGTGAAGACGCTGAACTGCAGGCTCTGGAAGGTCAGTAGTTTAGCAGTTCGAGTCCCGAGTTGCCACAAGATGGGGTGAGCTCCCATCTCTAGTTCCAGCTCCTGCCAACCTAGCAGTTCGAAAGCAAGAAATTGCAAGGAGATAAATAGGTACCACTTCGGTGGGAAGGTAACAGCGTTCTGTGCACCTTGGTGTTTAGTCATGCCGGCCACATGACCACAGAAACGTCTTCGGACAGCGCTGGCTCTTCGGCTTTGAAACGGAGATGAGCACCGCAACCCTAGAGTCGGGCTCGACTGGCTTTCGAGCAAGGGAACCTTTACCTTTACTTTATTCGTCTCCTGTCCTGTTGGATCACACCAACGGGACCACAGTGGCCAACCAAGATGCCTTAGGAAGTCCACAACAAAGGCACGGAGCCCAAACCTTCCCCCATTTTAGCTGACCCAGCAATTATCGCCGTTCACAGGTATACTGCCACAGAATGTGGAGGTTCTACTTAGCCATCAAGGCTAAACGGAACCTCCATTAGGTAGTCTCTCCACCACCCCTTCAGACTCCATTGTTCGGATTCAAATGTTATTGTATCCTGTAATCCACTTAGTGACTGACTGGATTTTTTAAATTATACTTGTAATCTACCTTCGGTCCCAGTGAGAAAGATGGACTGTACGTGAAAATTAATAATAATAATAATATGTATTGTAACGTCTTTATTTCTTATTATTATTTAATTTTCAGATACGACACAAAACGATAACAGAAATTCGAAACAGTGTAACCAAGTGTACATTAGACAGTCTTACAACTACTCAAACATATGCAACTAATGCAATATCCATAAAGAAAGAATGACATAATACCGATAATTTATGCTCATTGGAACAAATTATCGGTACCATACCGATAATTTATGCTCATTGGAACAAAGTTTAAGATCAGCGGCACCTTGAAGACCAACAAAGTTTTATTCAAACTGTAAGCTTCCATTTGCAAAGAACGCTTCTTCAGACAAATTGGAATAGAATCTCCTCAAGGGTTACTGACAGGAAAAGAGACGGGGGGGAGGGTTAGGAGGGGCCCCTCAGGGCCAAGTACACAGGGCTGAGCTTGGTTTGTCTTGGGGGTACTGCTGGATTCTAGCTTCATTCTCACAACTCTTTGCTAACTCTTGCATTTACCCGCTAATTTGCTGCTATCCATTGATCTCACGGCCTCCTGATCCAATTTCAGCTTTACATGTGCTACAGGGGTAATTTTGTAGAAAAAGAGGTGCAGGAGCTCATTAGCATAACACATTAGCATAACTTATTTGCATATGCCACACCCCCAGACATCACCGGAAGTGTGTCAGAAGGCAACACCCACCGCTCAGGCTCCGCTTGGACTGTTTTGGATTGCTAGCTATTGGGGGGGGGGGAACATGCAGATCTGTCCTCGCAGAGGAGGGAGAGCTTGTGCCTGAATGAAACTTGGTCTTAAAGGTGCCACTGCACTGTTTTGGATTGCTAGCTATTGGGGGCGGGGAACGGGCAGATCTCCCCTCACAGAGGAGGGAGAGCTTGTACCTGGATAAGACTTGGTCTTAAAGGTGCCACTGGACTGTTTTGGATTGCTAGCTATTGGGGGGGGAGGGAACATGCAGATCTGCCCTCACAGAGGAGGGAGAGCTTGTACCTGAAGGCGGGCTGGGGGGGGGACCGGGCCTGCAACTTACCTGGCTGCTTCTTGGTCCTCGTGGTACGACTGAGGGATGCTGGGAGCAGGGGGTGGGGCTTGTTGCATGTGCCCGCCCCCTGGGCTCCTTACTGCCAGAGCTGGGCTCCCGCAAGAAATGACCCCTGCATGTACATCTTGGCCCTGAGTGGCCCCTCCTAACGGTTCCACCCCCCCCCCGCCTTTTTCCTGTAAGTAACCCTTGAGAGAAGACAGCAGGGCCTGGCGTGATGTGGTCCATGGGGTCGCGAAGAGTTGGACTCGACTGTGCAACTGAACAACAACAACAACAACCCTTGAGAAGATCTTATTCCAATTGTCTGAAGAAGTGTGCATGTGCATGAAAGCTTACACTTTGAATAAAACTTTGCTGCTCTTCAGGGTGCCCGGGGACTCAAACTTCGTTCTGCTGCTTTAGACCAATGTGGCCGACCCACTTGAATTTATGCCCATTGTTCTCTAATTGCCTAATCCAGTATATATTACACTGGTCTATTACTTTGTTTTATAATTCTGTAAGCCTCCTTGAGCCTCAAGGAAGAAGGCGGAAGAAAAAGGAAGACGGATAAAGAAATTCAAGAATAATCATCGACAGATCCTTCCCTTGATGATTTTGCCCAATTGTCGATGGTCTATTTCAGTATAAAGCAGCTTCATGTGTACATGCAACACACACACACCCAAATATCCCCTCCACTCACCAGAGGAGGCCTCCAGCCGGTCCAGCTTGCTGACCAGCCAATCCAGATTGTTGGAGAAGAGGGCGCAGTTGGAACGGTTCCCACGGATTAGCGAGGCTGCACAACGGGACGCAAAAGGGAAGCCGGAGGGGGCGGGGGAGACGGCGGTTAGCATACGGTCAGGGACCGTGGCAAGGTTGATGGCACATATTGATGGCACACTGTCCCTGACAAGACAATTCTATTTGCACTCTTAGGACCTAAACTGGAAGATACATCATATTTCCAGTGTATACAACTACTTCCAAGGCCAGATGTATTTGTGGCCCCAAATAGAAACTTTTTGGTGTGTTATTCAATTCCGTATTGGAACATTCCAATTTTTGGTCCCATTTTATTTATTTATTTATTTAGTATTTATTGTTAATTGCCTTACATGTGTTACAGGGGGACTCTGCTGCTTGTTATGTTTTGCACTATTTGACCTTTGAAGAAGGCCCTTGTGAGCCGAAACGCGTCAGGTCATATACACTGTTCTCTTTTGTGTGTATTTGTAACTTTGTACATTTTATGAGGCTTTATTTGGGCCCCTACTAGGTTTTTATACGTTTTTGTACACTGACTTGTGTTTTTAACTTTTGGCCCTCAATTCGTTTCCTAAACTTCCTTCGGAGGTTTGTGCTTTGTTGGTTTAGATTTACTCCCCCGCTTTTTTGGGGGGGTTATCTTGGACAGGAGCCTGAATTTATGGCTAGGCATACTTTAATAGAGTATAACACACACTGGACACCACACACTGCTGCTATTACTCCGGCTCTTCACGGCCCCTGAATTTCACCCAAGGGGGGAAAAAGGAGGCAAAAAGCCAGGAATACACAGAAAGAGGGCAGATATTTACTAAATTAATAACATCCGCTTGTTTCGCATGAGGTTCAATCAGGGAGGTGAGGCACGTAGGGACTGTTAATTTAATAAATATCTGCTCTGTCTATTGCTCTGCTGGTCTTTTGCCTCCAGAGAGCCAGTTTGGTGTAGTGATTAAGTGCGTGGACTCTAATCTGGGAGAAGTGGGTTCGATTCCCCACTCCTCCACTTGCACCTGGCTGGATGACCTTGGGCAAGCCATAGTTCTGATAAGAGCTGTCCTTGAAAAAGAGCCGTTTCTGTCAAGAGCTCTGTCAGCCCCACCTACCTCACAGGGTGTCTGTTGTGGGGAGGGGAAGGGAAAAGGAGTTTGTAAGCCGCTCTGAGACTCCTTTGGGTAGTGAAGGGCGGGGTATAAATCCAATCTCCTCCTTTTTTCTTGGAGATTGGTTTGGCCGTTTTGTTTTCTCTCTGAATCCTACACCAGGTGTAAACGTGGAAGGTTTCCCCCCCCATCCCCCATCTAGACTTCCAAGACACACTTTTTGGTTTTAAAAAACAACAACGCAAAAATAGTGTCTTGGAAGTCTAGCTGGGGGGGGGGATCCCAGTTGCGTCAAATCAACGTCACACCTCCTCCTCCACTGCTGCTTATATGCAGATCTGCGTGCTAAATATTTAAACTTGTTTTTAGCTGGAACGTCGGGCCTCTCTGATCACGTCAAGGTTTATTGTCTTCTGAACAATTGCTGACCTGACGTTACTGAGAAGGTAGCCCTGTTTTTACAGTCCACGATAAGAGCCTGCCAGGAAATGTTATAGTATTAATTTTCTTTTTTAAATACCACGCAGGTTTTTATATCGTTGGCTTTGTACCCCACTCTGTTCAACGGCTGTTGGTAGTATCTGCACATGCCAATAAAGGTGACTGACCCAACCGACCGGCACACTTTTTGGCCTACAAATCTCACAAATTTAAATCTGGGTGGATTGTCTGCGCAAGCTATGGTCAAATCCAGACCAAACCAGGGCTAGAATCGACCCTTCTTTCTTTCGGCTGCTGGAGAGATTCCTGCGTGCGCATCACCTGCAGGATTGGGACCGGGGGGGGGCTCTCCTTCCCACCAGAAGAGGCAACATCGCTGCCCATTCTGCACAGACACGGCACAGTCACGCCCCCTATTTGGAACACTCCGCTATTAGCATCTCCCTCTTCCTCTACTAATGGGGAATCTGTTGGCCATCCTCTGCTACCAATTTGTTGGGATTCTGTGATTCAGGATCGATGGTCGTATTGCAAACACAAGAGCCACATTAGTAAAAGAAAAATATCTTTACTACAAAACAAAATAAAACATGGGTACGGTACTTTGGATAAAAGAAATAAAATAAAAAGGTTACATACTTGCAGTTACTCTCAGTACTATATGCTAACAGAATCTAATGACCACCCCACTTCCCCAGCCTTCTG